AGTCCGTAGCTACTGAATTTTTGAAAATGGTTCAAACCCAGTTTGATCGTCCTGTCAAAATTGTTCGTTCTGACCCTGGCGGTGAATATAATTCAGCTTCGCTGTATGAAGTTTATCGGTCACTTGGTGTTCTTACTCAGCAGTCTTGTCCCGGTATATCTCAGCAGAATGGTCTAGTAGAAAGGAAAAATCGTCATGTCATGGATTTAACTCGTGCCCTTCTGTTAGCGTCTCATGTTCCTGGTCGATTCTGGCTTGAAACAGTTGCCACTGCAGTTCGTCTCATAAATTACCAAATTACTCCTGTTCTGCGAAACACTAGTCCCTTTTTTGCTCTCTATTCCCGTCATCCTGACTATTCTCGTCTCCGTGTTTTTGGGTGTCTGTGCTTTGTTCTTCTTCCGAAGCGCGAACGTACAAAACTCACATCTAAAACAACTCGATGTGTCTTTTTGGGATATAGTGACGTACACAAAGGGTACTTATGTTATGATCCTCTTGTTCAACGTATCCGCATTGCCAGTACTGTCATATTTTTTGAAAATGTCATGTTTCACTCACCTGAGTCGTCTCCGTCTGATTTCCTTCCGGTCAATCTTCCTCCTCCCACGTTTGCTGATGAAGTTGATGATGACTTGATCCACACGATCCTCCCTCAACCGATCTGTCTCCCTCCACATCAGCTGCTGCCTCGTCATCACCTACAGCAACTCCACCATCGCCTATCACTCTCGGCTCCAGCACTCCCTCCTCGGCTGGCTCTCCTACCACCACCGACATCAGCTCCCCTTCTAGCGGCCCAAATTCATCTTCTCATGACACCAAGCCAGCTCCGCGCCGTTCCGAACGGGTAAATAAAGGAGTCCCTCCACCGAAATTTGGTGACTACCTAGCATATGGAGTGGAGTCGATAGCTGTTCCGACTCGCTATCGTCAGGCCAAGGGCCATCCTTTGTGGGAAGCTGCTATGCGTCGGGAATTAGAGGCGCTTCATGCAAGTAATACTTGGACTCTAGTTCCTCGTCCACCTTCTTCTACTTCAGTGGTCGGCTGTCGTTGGGTCTATACTGTCAAAATGAAACCGGATGGTACAGTGGATTGGTATAAGGCACGACTGGTTGCTCAGGGATTTACTCAGGAATATGGCATCGACTACAGTGAGACATTCGCACCGGTTGCTAAGATGGCTACAGTTCGTACTTTATTATCCGTTGCTTCTCTTCGTCAGTGGCCCTTATATCAGATGGACGTCAAGAATTCCTTTCTTCACGGCGACTTAGATGAAGTAATTTACATGGAACCACCTCCCGGGTATCCGCTTGCTTCTCCTTATCAGGTTTGTCGGCTTAATCGCTCCCTGTATGGTCTCAAACAAGCACCCCGTGCTTGGTTTGAGAAATTTCATACCACTATCTCCGACTTGGGTTTTCAGCAGAGTCGCAACGACCCATCTTTGTTTACTCGCACTACAGAAGCTGGGGTTGTTGCTCTCCTCTTGTACGTCGATGATATGGTGATCACGGGATCTGACCATGAGGGCATTCATCGGCTTAAGGAGGGTGTCCATGCCTCTTTTAATCTCAAGGATCTGGGAGAATTATCATATTTTTTAGGCCTGGAAGTTAATCGTGACTCTCGCAGAATTTTGTTATGTCAGCATAAGTATATTGCAGACTTGTTGGATGATCATCAAATCACTGACTGCAGACCTGTTTCTACACCTATGGAGCTTAATCTGCGTCTCGGCCGTGACTCAGGCACGTTATTACCAGACAGTAAGGTTTATAGGAGCATTGTTGGAAGCCTAATTTATCTATCAGCTACCAGACCAGATATTTCCTATGCAGTCCACGTAGTCAGTCAATTTATGGATGCTCCTCGCTCTGATCATTTGGCAGCAGTTCATCGCATTTTGCGTTATCTGCAAGGAACAAGTGATGTTGGTATCTTCTTTCCTTCGACTGGTGACTTTTGTCTTCAGGCTTTCTCAGACTCCGACTTTGCTGGGTGTGTTGATACTCGGCGCTCTACCTCTGGCTGGTGTGTACAGTTTGGTAAATCTTTTATATCCTGGCGTTGTAAGAAGCAGGACAAGGTCTCTAAGTCATCTACAGAGGCTGAGTATCGCTCCATGTCTGAGGTTTGTTCTGAACTCATATGGCTCCAACGTCTCCTCCAGGATTTTGATGTGACGTGCTCTCTCCCTCTTAATCTCTTTGTGGATAATACCAGTGCTATCTGTATCGCGGTTAATCCTGTGCTTCATGATCGTACCAAGCATATCGAAATACATGTTCACTATGTTAGAGATTTGGTTAATGCTGGGACTGTCTCTCTTCATCATATTCGGACATAGGATCAGGTTGCAGATCTGTTTACGAAGTCATTCACCACTAGTCGTCACTGGTACCTGTCGAGCAAATTGCTGCTTTCCGACCAGCATCAATTTGGGGGAGGCTGTTAGCGGATTATACAGGCCCATGTTTAATTGCTTTGTATTTGCTTTGTATAGCCCATTTATTGTGCCCATGAAGCCCATGCAAGGGCTGCTCGTGTACGTGGTGAGAGTGGCCCTAGGGTTTGTTTATTTCTTGTTTCGGGTTGTATATAGGGAGAGTGGTGGCTGTGAGTGAGGCACAGAACATACATACACAATAAGATCAGTAGCTCGAAGGGTTTTCACTCTTCCGTGGATTAGTCCTGGATTCTCCAGGGATACCACGTAAATCCGGTGTCTATTTCTTGATTTCCTTTTCATTCTCGTTCAGTTCGTCAACATCAAATCCGGATAATCTATCACTTTAATGTGAAACATACAACCGAAAACCGAATGACTTTTGAAGGCACATTATCTCCCAGCTAAAGAGATCAAATAAGGAACTAGAAAGTCAACCTACCTTTAGAAATGGTTAGTGAGTATATATACTTCTGTTGAATATTCTTAGTAAGCATGTCACATTGTGTATCACGTTATTGGGCGAGCGTCATTGATACCTTACTCTTACTCGATGGCAACACTTGCCCAGCCATTTAGCACACTCTAGTGACGTATTTTCGTTGTATATAAATGAACAGGTGAGGTGAGGTGGGGCAGGACATGCACAAGACATACGTACAAAAAAGTCTTTTGGGCTTAAATCAGTTGGGCCAGATGAGTGCAACAGCGAAATCTGATTTGGGCCTAATGATTAGTCCGCTCGTAAGAAAAAACGGTACGGCACGACGGCCGGCCGCCGGCGCCTGCAAGTGTCGCTCTGCCTCGTTACTTCCGGGTCCTTTTCTCTAATCTCTCTTCCATCCTGTTAATCTTTGTCGTCTTCCATTTCTATAATCACCAATAAACCCAAAGTTTAGCAGAAGAAGATCAGATAATACATCAATGTCCATCTGATTAGTAGTTAAAAAACAAATTTAAACAGCTGGGATCAGTTTCTCAATCCCCTGCAATCTCCCTCGTTTTCTCCGATTCCGAAACAGTTTGCATCCCTGGTACTTGACTACTTCCATATGTCCAAGTTTACATATAATACGAATCAGAACTTCACACATCTCTCCCTCTCTCGCTTTCTCCCTCTTCCCGATTCCCTCATCTCACCCAAAATTGGAAGTAATCAGCGGCGGCTGGAAAATGAACGGCGCCGGCGGGAGGTTTAGATTGAACAATCGGGGCGGCGGAGTGCAGCGGAAGGACAGAGATAACGACGACCTGACACTGTTCAAGGAGTTGAATAGACGGGAGAAGGATCAGGCTGCAAGTCTTCTCCAGCCCATCTCCGATGAGTTCGAGGTTAACGCCGGTGAGAAGCTACACTACTTTAATCTTCTCTGGTACTGCTTGTATTGTGTTGGGTTATCATAAAGATGGTTACTTTTTCCGAATTTCTGTGTTCGCGGCGGCAGCGGGGACTCACCATTCGTTCTACCGTATCCCGTCGGGGAAGAAAGACGGATCGCAGGGCTACGAGTTCTTCGGCGGCGGCGGACATGGCAAAAACGATTATGATTGGTATAATTGAAGATAGATTATCTAGTTAAATCGAGAACCCACTCTGATTATCATTCCATCTCTTGTCCTGATCTAAAAAGTATGTTTTTTTTTTCTGTAATGATAATGATATATGGAATAAGGTTAAAAACGCCGCCGGCAACTCCCCTGTTCCCGTCTCTGGAAATGGAAGCCAGTCGGCCGGACTTATTGGTCCAGCGGGAGATCACCGTCGTTCAGCCTCTGTCACGGGTACGTACTTCACGTCGTTGCAGAGTGTTACATTTTATGTTTACAATAATTGGTTTTCGATTATAAGGTAAAGACTCAATTCGTATTGATTCTGAGTTATGGATCGAGTTGTATGTGATTTGATGATATAATTCGATAAGATTTCGAGTCATTTGAAGTTTGCACACATTTTATGGGGATGTCAGTTTGCAGCCAGTTCGGAATCCGGTAAGCCAAGAACAACTAGTACCACAACAAGCCCGCCGACCACAACCAAATCCTCGCCGTCGAGACCAAAGATGCCGATCAACAGGTCATCACTCACTGCCCAACGACCAACCCCCAATGTTGCACAACCAGTAGGCAACGAAGTTGGGCCCACACTAGTCCAATATGGTCGACCAAAGCCCACTACAGATCACTACGCTGGGCCAAAACTGCAGCCCATAATAGAGAGAGCTACCAATACCACTACTATTCCATCATCCGTTGGGAAATCCAATGTTAAACCGGTCCAACAGCCCAAAACCAGGGGATTGTCTCCGGGAGTAAGATCCAACATTGCAACAGTTGCTGCCGCGGTAGCAGCCGATCACCACTCTCGAACCACAATTGCCAGCTCCAGGCCCGATCGCGCTAGCTCGACTAGCCGGATCAGGCCCAAACCGATGCCATTCGGGCATCAAAAGACCTCCGCGGCCGCTACTGCCGCTGTTCCTGCAAAACCGCGGAGCAGCAGCAGTAGCAGCAGGCCACGAATATCATCAACAACTACTACGACTAGGACGACGACTACCGCGACAAGTAATGAAGGGAGCTATGTGCACAATCAGAAGAGCCGCGGCGGTGGTACACAAGTGTTTGGGAGTAAAATGGTGGATAAAGTAATGTCTGCCAGAAAATCTTATTCTACTACTACTTCAGGGGTTGGACAACATCTTGAGGCAGTACATGGAGCTAATAGTTTGAAGCCAAAGGCTAAGCTCAATGCTGAAGGTCTTGGTAACGGCGGCGACAAGGCCGGTAATCCTGCCGGCGCTCCGGCGGCTGGGTTTGGGCGGATTTTGGCTCTCCGCAACATGGTAAGTCGGTCTAAGTAGGAGTTAACCTAGCTAATCAATCTTTGCTGATGTTGTCACAGAGTTGGGTGTGTGTTAATGTTGTTTTCTCATGGTGGATTTGAACTTTGCACAGGAGTTAAATCGAGATCGGAATAACAGGTCACATTATAATCAACATGCCACCAGGTCTTGATCAAACAAGAACAAGCTAGCTAGCCGGTTTGCTATGGAGATGAAGAGCTATACTTTCTTTTGATTTTTCATTCTTTAGTTTTTATCACTTCATGCACATTATTAACTTATATTTATGTATAATTTTAATCGAATTATTGAGAACTCAAGATGAACACTGATCATATGTACCCTGGTCAATGTATGGTTTTGTCCGTGTCTGTTTGTTACCTTAGACAATGAAATTATCGATTTTGATATGTTTATTTTGGAGACGTTACTTAATTAAGTGTCAAATAACCATAAAGATCAAATAAAGAATATAATTTTCTAAGCATAACACGACGACAGAAGTCCAAAATCCTGGCTAGATAGCTAGCAAACACACAAACCTAGAGGTTCTATGCCAACCTTGCGAAATAGATCGTGCCATTCAAGTATGTGCAAGAAAATGAGAATGATCAAAGAAATCTATATAAGTGCACGGGAGTTCCTTTGCAAAAGGATCCGGTGGAAAGTGGGAAACGGAACGGAAGTTCGGATATGGGGCGATAACTGGTTGCCAACCGGGGAGCCGTGGTACGTGGAATCAGCGCCGAAGGGATTACCTGCAGACTCGGTGGTACGAGAGCTTATCCAGCCAGATGCTGAGGAGTGGGATTTGGAGATTCTAGAGAGATGCTTCCCCAATGATATAGTCAACAAGATCAGACAGATCCCACTCCGGGGAAATGGAGAAACGGATCGGATAATATGGGCAACTAATGACTCGGGTGAATACACAGTCAGGGACGGCTATAAATCATGGTTACAGGACTTCCTCAAAGACCAGCAACAGATAGTTCCTATTGGAGAAGCTAGTATATGGAAGAGGCTATGGTCGCTGGATATGCCTCCTAAAGTGAAGCATTTCATGTGGCGGTTTATGAGGGGTGTGCTCCCCACCGGCGATCACATAAGTGTGAAAAGCGAGAGGAGGACGGATAAGTGCCCTTACTGCGATCTACGGGAAACACAAGTCCATGCCTTTTGTCAATGTGCTTGGGTGTCTAGACTATGGAGGCAATCTGAGTTTGCAACCTGTTTCACCAACCGGCCAAGTGACGACTGCTACCAGTGGGTGGAGGCTGTGATGGGATCTGAGTCGGATGAGAGGGTTGAGGCATGGTGCATCGTGCTCTGGTTCTTTTGGAGGGAGCGCAATGCCCAAATGTTTAATGGACATCGGCTTGAGGAGAATGAGATTATCCCCCGGGCAAAAGCTTTTAGGGAAGATTACCGGAGTCAAGAAAGAAGAAGCAGCATACCAACACATGACAGTGATGGTAGTCATTGGAGATTACCGGAGCAGGGACGAGTCAAGATAAATACGGATGCCAGTGTGCTGACGAGTGGGGGCATTAGCCTGGGGATGGTGGCACGAGATTGGATGGGCCGTTTCCTGTGTGCAGCAGCAAAGAAAATGGAGGGGAGTTGGTCGATCGAAGAGGCGGAAGCATTAGCGGCGGAATTTGGGGTTCAGGTTGCTCTCCAAAACCATATTATGAATCCTATCCTGGAAGTGGATTGCCTGGCTCTAGTGAAGAAGATTCATGAAGCAGACTCTATTCATTCGGAAACAGGTACGATCTGCAGGAGCATTAGACGTCACCTGAGGGCGATGGGAGAATGTTCATGGCAACATGTGAAACGTACGGGAAATGAAGCTGCTCATTTGATGGCACATGTGGAAACTCGATGGAATGAACGTATCGTTTGGGTAGATATACCCCCGATGATCTTGCTTGACCAGCTACAGCTGGATAATGTAACAGCCTCCACTGGTTAAATAAAAGATTTACAGGTTCCTATAAAAAAAAATGTTTTTTCCCCCTCAAACGCCTCCGGTTAAGAGATTGAGGTTCCAAGATGGGCCAAGACAAAACGAAAGCGCACAAATTAGAGAATAATGGGGAATGGATCAAGTGAGTAACTCTATGGTCAGTAACCATGAGCAACCTGTCTACATTAGACATCTGTATCCTCTCTCTCCTGAAAAGTCTTTTATCTTTTCTCCTTCAATCTTTAACAGACGATTTCTCTTTCGTTTTAAGTCGAAATTCAATTTTTTTAGCACAGATAAATCAGATTAAATGTGCTCTTTAAAATGATATCCACTTTGATATATTTTTAATACAAAAAAATGAATAATTTTTTACCAGTCATTACCATATGGTATGCTCCTATTTAATACGATATGATAAGAAAGCGTACCATGATGGTATGAACATACCAATATGGTAAGAATGTTGAATACATGATAGTAGGAGTATACTAACTATCATTTACGATTTTCATCATTGTTTACTACAAGTTACCACCCACATACCATAGTGGTAAAGTATGGTAATTTTTTATCCAGTATTTTTTTCACCCAGAAATTTATAGATCCAATAGATTATGATGAACTCGTGCCTTCTGAGCAAACGTTTTAAAAAACGACTAAAAAAACGAAGAAGTTACCATATGGTATGTAGTTGGTAAGAAAAAATTTTCTCGAAATATATTGAAAATTGATCTCATTTTGTAGAGCATAACGAACTCGTTCCATCTGTGCAAACAAAATTGAAATCCGAGTTAGAACGAAAAAGATAAGAACCGATTAAGAAAACCAGGGAAAATAAAATACCTTTAATTGACAACCTTTAAATCTGAATTTTCTGGACCAACTTAGATCTAAAGATCCTGATTTAGTTACTCATATGTCAGAATAATGACCCTATCCTAAGCCAGAATAACGACCTTGTCATAAAAAGAATGAACCATAGAGTCCCCCCAATTGCCAAATTGAAAACCTTTACATCGGAAAAACATAATATCGACTCTATAAAACCATAATAGATGACAATGTGGCTAAGGAAAAAAAGCTCTGCCTACAGCAAATACTACTTCCACACAAATTAGAGAATAATAATGAATGCTATGGTCCTTGTCATAGAAATTAGAAAGGATGAACTTGCATACTTAATTGTTAACTATTGGTGTCAAGACCTCTTTGAATCACCATGATTTGTCAAGGAGGCAAATGGAAACGGATCAGATTAGTAACTTTATGTGCAAATGTTTTCAAAAATGAATTAAAAACGAAGGAGATACCATATAGTATGCAGTTGGTACTAAGAGGCAAAAAAAAAAATCTCAAAAATATTGAAAATGTATCTCATTTTGCAGAGCACAACGAACACGTTCCATCTGTGCAAAAAAACATTAAAATCCAAGTTAAAACGAAGAAGATATGAGTCGATTAAGAAAGTTAGGAAAAATAAAAATGACCTTTAATTCTCCATTCTTAGATCTGGATTTTCTAAATGAAGGGTTCAGATTTAATTATTGATGGGTGAGTTATGCACCCTATCTTGAACCGAGACAAATAGGAAAATATTAATCTGCACTTAGTTCACAATCATAGGTGATAGTTGATTACCGAGTAAGAGACATTCGACCAAGGTAATTGAAAAATGATAAACATCAAACAAGTGTAAATTCATTTTCTTACTTTTTTTTTTTACGAAAGGAACGTGGATCACCTTGTGAAGTTACAAGAACTAGTAGTTTGGTTTGATGGCTCCCTCAAACGTAATCACGGTGGTCGTACAAGATTCGTGAGCTTCAGTTCCTTAAGTGAGATAATCTTTGAGTTTGTGCAATAGTATGAAGGTAAACAAGCCCCTTTCTTTATGAAATTATCGGCTTTGCGAGATGCTATGAACTGGTGTCTAATCCATCGTATTTTTTCTGTTAAATTTCGTGGCGATTCTCAACTGGTCATTTGCCGGGTGATGTAGAGCAAGCTTTCACATGATTTGGGAGGAGCCATCTTGGGAGATATTGGCAGGGTGTCGTCTCAATTTTAATATGTTTCTTATTGTCTTGCTCTTCGTTGTTTGAATAGGACTGACCATCTTATAGCATGAAAAGTCGGGATGAGTTACCGTCACATCCCCTAAGAGGGATGTGAGATTCACATCCAAGGGCAATTTGGGTATGAAAAAAAATTAGAATTTATTATTTATTTATTTTTGTATTAATTACAGATTGGGAATTAAAAACCCAGATTAAATACTTTCTTAATTTAAATCCTACAATTAATACGCTTATATCTCTCTCTTTCTTTTCCAGCAACCTCTTCACTCCGACCGCCAAAGTTTCTCTGGCCGACGAACTTTTCCGGTGAAATCCTCCAATCAGACTGGCTCCGGCCAACTGCAAAAAAACCACTCCGTCAGTGTGCTAGTGGTACTGATTTTCATCTAGTGGTACGCTACCAGTAGTAGTGGTACGTACTAGTGGTAGTGGTACGCTACAAATACCACTCGTTCCGCTACCAGTGAGTAGTGGTACGCTACCACTACCACTGGTATCGCTACCAGTGAATAGTGGTACGATACCACTACCACTGGTAGCGTACCACTAGACAGAAATCAGTACCACTACTCACTAGTACCGCTACCACTGAGTACTGGTACGCTACCACACTAGACAGAAATCAGTACCACTAGAGAATAACATAAAAAAACAAGATCTGGAATCTGGAAAATCCCAGATCTGAAAAAAAATAAGGAATGAGGAAAGGAGAAGGAAGGGGAGAGGTCGTTACCTCGCGGCGGCGGCAGAGGAGGACAGCGGGAGAGAGATGGCGGTGACAGGAGTTGGAGGGAGGATAGAGGGCTGCGATGGTGGGAGGCGGATGACGCGACGGCTGCGGCGGGAGGTAAAGATGGCGGCGATGGCGACGGGAGAGAAAGAGTACGACGGTGGCGACGGGAGGGGGCAGCGGCAGCGGCAGCGACGACAACGGGAGGGAGAGACAGAGAGCAGTTAGGGTTCTCGGGAGAGGGAAGAGAGAGGGGAGAGAGGAAGAGTTTTTTTTTTAAGGAAATCAGATTATATAGAAAATGAGAAAGGATCCTGTGTGGTAAGTTTTTCTCTTCCAAAAATACCCTTCATTTAATCTAAACGTTAATTTGAAAAACCAAGAGAGAGGGTGGATCTAATGGCTGCGAAGGAGGAAGTGAAAATCACAACCCCTGTGAGGGTTGTGACGGTAACTCATCCCTGAAAAGTCTTCTTATCAGGCGTTTGACTATTAGTCAACTATCCTGGGGAAACGAGCGACCTTGATGAAAATTATCACAACTATAACATGGTTTTCTTCCGAGCTTAAATTCTAGCATCTAAAATGGATGACCAATCAAACTCACAGTAGTATCACTATCACCAAAAAAAAAGATCATAGGAGTCTGATTTCTCTTCCGTAACCAAATTCGGGTACCCGGGTCAACCGAACCAAGCGGCTAGTCCGGTTCCAACATGACCTACTATAAATACGAAACAACGCGAACGTCGGCTGCCGCCTGCGAAGCGAAGGAACGAAACTAAGCTACCGACGACATGGGGAGCAGGCACAACGGCGGAGCTAGCGACCGCGCAGCCTTGGGCAATGGCGGAGCACCGCCCGTGGTTGACAAGGAAGTGGATTTCGCCAATTACTTCTGCACCTACGCCTTTCTCTACCACCAGAAAGACATGCTCTCCGATCGGGTTCGCATGAACGCTTACTACAACTCCATTTTCCGGAACAAACATCACTTCCATGGAAAAGTAACCTACTTTGCCCACCCATTTACTGTTACAGCTTTTCCCTAATTGCTAACCCATTGTGAACTCTCGAGTCCAAAGCTAGTCTCTTTGGGGTTGACTTCGTATGAGGGTTTTGGCTTTCTGATCTTTTAGTTGAACCATTCTGTTGAATAGTGTTTGTTTAAGCCTTCTTTGACTTGTGAGTGACTGAACATTGGCTGCAAACTTGTGGGAGCTCGAGAAATTTGGGCCTTAATACTTAATAGTAAGGAGTTAGGGAGAGTTCAGGTTCATTATTGGTTTTAGGCGTGGGACTTCTCTGGTTCTGGGTTCTTTGAAGCTAGGGGTACTTGTTTGTTCTTATGAGATTGCGGTTAGCCTATGCTTGGGACCGATTGATAATGCTGCTAAACCTGTGATTGTAGACAGTTCTGGATGTTGGAACTGGCAGTGGCATTCTAGCAATTTGGTCAGCACAAGCAGGTGCAAAGAAGGTCTATGCAGTGGAAGCAACTAAGATGTCGGAGCATGCTCGTGCATTAGTGAAAACAAACAATGTCGAGGATGTGGTTGAAGTGATTGAGGGTTCTATGGAGGATGTTGTCCTGCCTGAGAAAGGTTTACATTTTTGCTTTGGTTTTGTAGTTGATAGTTTGTTCTTTCATTGATCATTTTCTTATAGTTTAGATGTTTTCATTTCACACGGTGATTTTGATCTTTGGACTTTTGACTGATGACAGTTGATGTAATTATCTCGGAGTGGATGGGTTACTTACTTCTGCGTGAGTCGATGTTTGACTCTGTAATTTGTGCTCGTGACCGCTGGCTGAAGCCTAATGGAGTCATGTAAGCAGCTCGATGCCAAACTCCTAAATTGAGATAAACCAATATGCTTTGCTTTTTCTACTTTGAGGTTGAATGTCTTGGCTTGCTTCTGTTTTGCTGATACTATCCGTTAATGTGGCAGGTACCCAAGCCATGCTCGGATATGGTTTGCACCTATCAGATCTGGATTGGTGGATAGGAAAGAGAACGATTTGGAAGACGTAATAGACGATTGGCATCATTTCGTTGAAGACACTAAGGATGCCTACGGGGTTGATATGGGTGTTTTGACTCAACCTTTCACTGCAGAGCAGAGGAGATATTATCTTCAGGTTGGTTCAACAAGATCAATATTCTTGATAAGTTTCTTCAGCATTGCTAATACATGAGTCTGTAAATGAGAACTTCTTACTTCTCATTCCACTAATTTTGGCTGGTCAAAGAGTATGATATAGGTGAAAAAGAACCTTAAATGGAAAGTGATAGTGCGTTGTTGAGACATATTATTGAATTTATAGAGGCTAGACCTGGTTGGCTCTTAGCCTGTCAGCTTGTTCAGTGAAGGTTTCTTGATACTGAGACAATTTTGGTTTTGTTTTGTTTTCTTTTTCCCTCTTTCCAGTCATTACTTTTGTCTGTACGAACAAAAATGTGGCCTTCATTCTGCATGCAAAATTATTCTTGCTCTTTTAAATGTGCTCTATATCTGAAGGACCTGGTGTCAAAATTCCTGTAGACATCCTTGTGGCAAAACCTTCATCCTAATCAAATTATCGGGACAGCTGCTATTATCAAGGAGATTGATTGTTTAACCGCCTCGGTAAATGACATCAGTGAGGTCAGGGCCAGTTTTTCTTCACCGATCACCCTGGAAAATACAATCCTCTGTGGATTTGGTGGATGGTTTGACGTTCATTTTCGAGTAAGTCGAGGAACAGATTTTCTAGTTTTAGTGGACAACACTTGTCTTTTCCATTCTGCAGAACATAATACTGTTTTCCTGTGGTACCAGGGAAGAAAGGATAACCCCGCACAGCAAGAAGTTGAGTTGACAACAGCTCCTAGTAAAGATGCCGGCACCCACTGGGGCCAGCAGGTATGTATTAAACCAGAATTACTCAAGGCGGCGACTTTTTTCATTTGTTTCTTGATCGGTTACCTGTTGAATATATTGAGTTATTCTTCTAAACTGCATTCCTTTGCTGATTGGATTAGGTTTTCCTCACACACCCTCCTAGTTGTGTCACTGAAGGCGATAGTGTCAGCGTAGAATTCCTAATGTATCGGTCAAAGGAAAATCACAGATTAATGGAGGTAGAGCTCAGCTGTGGAGTCAGGCAGTCTTCTGGCAATCTGCTTCCACCATTTAAAAGTAAATTCCACATAGAGTGATCAAGCAACAGGGTGTCCGTTTCCAGCATCAGTAAGGTATGCAATAATTTTGATCGGTTTGTTTCTTGGAGCTCCATCTCAATTTTGTATCTGTGTATTTGATAGACTAGCTTTCACCTTCTTCAACCTTTTCCCCCTCCATTTGTTTTAACGACTTCACAGGTTTTTCCCGATTCTTGCTTTGCTCTTGACTTATAATTTCGTTTCGTTTCCTTTACTTTTCAGCGTGTTGATGTGCAAGGACAGATATATCCTGAAGACCCGGGATATGAATGTAACTGTAAAATTTCAAAACAGAGCTTGGTTTGTTTCTGTAGAACATATTCTTGACGGCCATATGTGCATTTTAGGTGCTCTGATTCCTGGTTGAGATATTCTGAACTCCCCCAGATTTGGTATGGTGGTGGTCTCTGTACTCTGTTGTACATTGACATCCAAAGATGGGATTATGGTTGTTAGGCTGTTTACTGAGTAGACATCTATTTAACCTTACCACCATATCCAGTGCAGCTTCAGGGCATTTCTAAATTGATATTTACACTTGCATTTAGTCCTAATAGTTGAGATCTTCATATTTCCATGTTTCTTTATTCCCAAGTCAACTTCAAATTCCGCAGAACACAATATTGTGCATTTTGCATATGTGGGCGGTGGGTTTCGACTTTCATATATGTGGAAGAAATATGATATCTTGTTTGTGGCAAAAGTTCTCCCGCCTTTCTATAGCTTATGCACATGCATGGCTTTAACTACTCTGCAAGTTAAGCTGGTTGTTCACCAAAAACCGCTATAAAATAATGCATCTTCAGTTCTTTGGATCTCATTATCTTCTCTGAATTGGTTAGAAACATTCTACACAGGCTACAGCTTTCTATTCCCCTTCACCTTCCTGCGTTTTCGCTGTTGTGGAAAAAATGTATCGATCTGCAAGCACGTTCCGTTCCTCGTCTGAAGAGCACCTCCTCAACTTGTTGCCTGCTCTGGCAGCAAATGGTTCTTCGCCTGTGAAAACAGTGGCGGGGTCTCCGTCGGAGTTGCCGGTGGCCTATTCCCCTGTTTCTGAGGGGAGCAAGAAGGAACTTGGGGCTCTGCAACAGCACAAACCGCTGGGTGGGGAAAATGGTGTTCATCTGATCCCAGTCGTTCTATTCCTATGTGGGTTGGCTCTCTGGCTTTTCTGTCCCCGTTGATGGAGAAGTCGTCATCAGGCGTCAGCCCGTCTTCTAAAGCAAGCTGCCGTGGGTTCTCTGTACCTGCTGGTTTTCAGGGTTTTGTTTCTCTTTGTCGTTCGATTGTAAGTAGTTTACCATTTGGGATGCACGAATGAATGTACTGCTATTGTCTATCTACAATATACTATAAGGCAATGTCAAAATAAACAACTTGCCACGTCAGCCTTTCCTGAACAAGCCGCACATTGCACAGGGAGTTTATCGTACACTTCTTAAGCTCTTTCAATCTCCTCTCTGAAATCAAACAACTTGTCTGAACTTGCTGTCCCAACCACAAACCAACCCATCCTGCGATTCTTCGTCCTGCAACTGTAAATTTCTATTAAGTGGGTATCTTCTTAATTTGGCTTTGCGAAGTCTATTAATGAGATTCTCAGTCTCTTTTTCTCCTCTGTTTTTGCTTTTCTAATGGGCATGTGATCCGATTGACTTCTAAATCCTGTCATCAATTCTGTTCTAAGTGGCCTATTGTTGTTCTATGCTTTTTGCTTTTCTCAATATTTATTTTTCCTTGTCACCTCTTGCAACACTCTTTATTTTGGTGTTAAACTTTTGCAGTATTGATTTCGAAGCATCGCCTTGGTGATACTTCTTCTACCCAAAAGAATCTGCCTGTAACATGTTCATTCTATTCTCAGATTCATATTTTCCTATTGTATGTAATGAATGTATTCAACCTCATTGTTGGTTAATTTTTGTGTGTTCCATTTTATCTTTGTTAGGGATATATGTTTTTCATTTATTTTAAGTACATATCAATTGTTCTCAGTTCTGATGCTTCTTAATCTTAGTTATTGACAAGTTGAAAACCCGCATTGTCTGTCTAGAGGCCCATCTTGCAACTTTAGCTCGGAGGAGAAGAAAATTCTTTTTGGTGGTTTGACGGATTTATATAGTTTGTGCTCTTTCAGTCCCAAGTATGTCTCCCTCTACATTTCCTCTTAGATGCTTTTGATCTTTATTGAACACTTTATTTCTAAACCGCTCAAGTAGTGCAGTATGTGATTTTGAAAAGCATGCTTGAGAGGGCTAAGATTAAGCCAAGGATTACAATGGATAATGAGAGTTTTTTTTTTTGAAAGGACTGTATTCATTAATTAAATCAAAGCATTGGAGTTTCCTCCCATATCCTTTCTAAGAAGAGGTACAAGAAAATGAGGTGGGTTGTTAATCCACACCTCCTCTCCCTCCCAGTTACAATCAACATGGGCCATGAAATGGGCCGATTTATTCTTTTGTCGGCTCACATAGTTCCATTTAACATGATTCAGTGACTGGGCTTTGGCCCGAATCTCCGCACAGAGCAACCCGATCTCGGTCTCTCTGTCTTCTTCTCTTCTCAGCTGGTAAACGACCCCCTGGCAATCCGATTCCATTTCCATTTCCAGCAGCTCAAACCTCTGTGCCAAATCAAGGCCAAAGTCGATGGCCATGGCTTCCGCTTCCTCGGGATTCCATTGAATTCGCGATCTCCGAAACTCCAGCAAGCAAAAACCTTCCTCGCTATCTCTGATAACCACCCCCAACCCGTTCCTCGATCCGCGATGCAAGCCACGTCGACATTAACTTTCACAGGAGCTGTCGATGGTGGCTGCTGAAAGAGATTGAAGATTTTTGGCAATTTATTATATATAGAGTAAAACATAATACACACACTGAGATTCTATACACAACGCTAGTTTTGAGAAGAAGAATGACTATATATTTCAACTAATATAGGATTTTGCTACGGTGACATGCATGTCACCGTGACATGCACTTTTCGGTCGACCGAATACACCTTGCGGTCGACCGAATGGGCTAATTCACGTATGTTGGGTTCCTGAAGGCGGTCGACCTCTAACAAAATGCGGTCGACCGTTTTGGTGGTCTAAAAGAGCAACAGGTCGACCCAAATATCTCATAGGCCGACCCTTGTGCACCTAACAGGTCGACCGCATTGGGAAGAGGTCGACCGCCTTCAGACCGTATCCGTATTGGATATGGATTCCAACACCAGAAAGGTTCCACAATTGGACAAGGAAACGAATTAGGTCGACCCATTCACGTCCAAATCTCTATAAATACGAATATGAGTCCCCTTAAACGCCACCAAGTCTGAATTAGGTTTTTTTCCGACTTAGAGCCTTTGTGAAGAAGATCGTTCGCGGTTGCTGTTGTACGTGTTGGAAGTGGTCGACCAGGTCTAAGGTGAGGTCGACCTAAAGTAGCATTCACCGTCTTCTTTTTTAATGCGTGATTTCCACCGGCTAACTTGATATATTGTTGGGTGCAGAATCCAATTCGGTCGACCGCGACGTCCACCAGGTCGACCTGACGAGACAATTCTTCGTATTTGAATTTAGGCCATAACACTGGGACTTCTGTACTTGCGAGGTAACCCAATCGGTCGACCTAATGAGTTTCAAGGTCGACCGTATATGTTTTTTTTGGTTATTCAACCTGAATGTCGACTTTGGCTTTGTTTGTATCACTATGTTGTGCTTGAAAAGGTCGACCGCGCCAGATATCTGGTCGACCTGTCATTTTTTCGGTTTAATTTTGAACTTACTATATGTTTGTAATTGTTATTTTCATGCTGGATAGGTCGACCTAGGAATAACCGAGGTCGACCTGACGAGTTGTGGTAGTCACTATTTGTACTTGAATTATGATTTTAATTTTTCTTTAAATTGTTTAGACGATGACGCATGATGAGAAACTGCATCAAGATTTGGGTGAAATCATGAAATTGTTGAAAGCCACACAAGAGAAGCTGGTGGTGTGTCAAACACAAGTCGAGCATTTGTCAGTTCGACTGACAGATATGACTGGGATGATGCATGACGGGTTTGAGAGGCTAGAAGGTGCTATCAAAGATATAAGTGCAGAACGAATGGAGAATGGCGGAAGAAATGGTGAAGGAAAGAAATTTGACTTTGGTAAAGAGGAGGAAGACCATGATGACTCTGAAAATTGCTACCAGAGCATAGACGATTTATTGAAAGAGCACATTTTAAAGGTATCCAAGTATATTCATATGTGATTGAAGATATTAGTATTACTATCATTAGTGCTAATCTGTTTTGTTTATATGTTTGACAGAGTGAAACAAAGAATGGCCGCAAGGGTTCCTCTCCTAATTACAAGAGACCGCGATATGAAAGTGACTCCTACACCACTCCACAGAAGGATCAATTTGTAAGAAAGGGATTATTTAGTGATGATAGCGATGAAGATGAATCTAAGAGTCCTTTCGAAAAGCACGGGGTAAGTTTACGTTACATTTTCATCTATAATGTGTGTTTGTGTTCATATGTTACTTTAATTTTAACTATGATTTGTAGGTCATGAAAGTGGAGGGTCTAGAAGGATTCACCAAAAATCTTCAAAATCCAGTTGAAGACTTGTATTATGTTGTTACTAAAGAGAAGGTTGGGGACAAGAATTGGGACAAGTAAGACGTTTTTCTAGTACGTGTGGTCGACCGGTTGTCCAATACGGTCGACCGTGTGTCCAATAAGGTCGACCTTGACTGTGTACAGGTCGACCTGTACGTTGCAAAAAAACAATTGACATTTCTGTTATCTTGTTTTTTGCAGTTTGATGATTGTGGACTTTTTTTCTGAAAACCTGCAACGACATTATTTGAGTTCGGTCATTAGCGAGAAAAGCTGGGTTTGCTCATCAGTAAGTACTATACTACTACGACTTTCGTATGAATTGTGCACTATTTATGTTACGATTTACGATGATTTTGTGTTTTATTGTTGGATGGTAGGTAGTGGATTTGTGTGCAAGGGCACTAACAATGTCTGAAAAACATGATGTGAAAGAGCCAAATGTGTGGTATTTTCCAAATATGTTTTCGGTAAGAGCCGTAATGTCAAATTATTTGTCATAACCTAGTTATTTATACTGTACCATGTCAATTCATCTCAACTAAAACATGGTGCAGAAAATGGTACGCGCTAACATGAAGACCAGACAAATTCGTAACAAGTTGATGAATGATGGCGTGGACTTTATGCCGAATGTCAGTGCATGCCAGAAGGTTAGTCTAGTCAATGTCCCTATATCATTAAATTTCGAAAGTGCATTTGTTTGTATTCGCTGTTTATAACATATAGTGAGTGTTTCGTTGCTAGATATTTATGCCAGTTCTTGAAGATGAAGCACGTCATTGGTTTCTGTATCTCGTCAATGTCCAGCAAAAAACTGCATTTTTGCTTGACAGTCTATCTTCAACTAGTGAGGCGAATCGTAGGCGTAAATCAGAACTATGCAAGAAATTGGTAAGTGTTTCCTATAATTTTCTGACTACTAAGCGTTACGTAGTATGCTAGAAGTTTAAAATATTCGTTATTTGTGTGTAGTTGTCCACTTTGGATGATATTTTGAAACCAGAGCGCACGAGCAATGTAGTAGTACCAAATTTTGGAAATTTCAATTTTGATGAGCTACCAGTTCAACGACAAAGGAATAGTACTGAGTGTGGTGTGCACGTCATGCAGTGGATGCGCTATGGATCCAAGGATCTTGATAGAGTGGTGAGTATATCGTCAAACAAATAACTAGTATAATTTACACTTTTTTAGTTGTAACGAAATCTTACATGGCATAATGCAGATAGGAGAAGAACACAAATTACCGGCGCGAAAGGAGATTCTATGGTATCTGGCTACACATTTTGAAAACCGTGCACGAGAAAATCTTTTCAAGCATGTAGTAGATGAATGCATGGAACGAGACAAAGAGAGACAGAGTTCCAAGAAAAAAGCAAAGAAATGAAGTCGTTAAGTTACAATGTTGCATTATTTGGACCATACATTTATTTTGTATTTGCGAGATCGTTTCATTATGGATTTTGAATGTTTATCGTTTATTAGATTTGTTATACAATTATGTATGTGACTGAATGTACGATTTCAATCGTCTAGAACAAGTGGTCGACCACATACTCAAAGCGGGCATACCCAAAGGCAGAGCACAGGTCGACCTCGTGAAGCTTAAGGTCGACCTATGATACCGTAGGAAAGTCAAAAACCATGTAAAATAAGTATGGATACTCGTCTGTTTGGCCTTAAGAAAAGTACGGTCGACCATTCTTGTCAAGAGGTCGACCTGTGCTCACATTTATAATCATTGGTCGACCATTTCTGTAAAGAGGTCGACCTGTTTCACATTTACAA